CTTCTTCACTCTCTTGATGTATTCACCTCTAATCTTTTTCTTGACTTCAGTATGCTTGATGTTGTCAGCTTGAAGGATACCCAAGTATTTGTAGTAATCTTCTCATCCAGACTCTTAATGTTATTTTCGTGGGGCATCTTGATTCCTTCAGTTTTCACTATTTTCCCTTGTTTGATAGTAAGTGTTTTTGATGTTTGATAGCCATGTCCTGAGTTATTCAGTATTGTTGACAGAGGAAACAGTGCAATAACAAATAGTAGTGGTGATAATGAATCTCCTTGAAATATTCCTCTCTTGATATTAATCTCTCCTAGTCTCTCACCATTGACCTGCAACTGTGTCTTCCATTGTGTCATCGATCTTTGCACAAATTTTCTAATGTTTACACTGACTCCTGTTATTTCTAGGCACTTGATTATCCAGTCATGTGGCTGAGAGTCAAATGCCTTTTTGTAGTCAATCCATGCCACATTCAGGTTGGTCTTTCTTTTCTTGCAGTTTTCCAAGATCATTTTGTCTATTAGGAGTTGATCTTTTGTTCCTCTGCTGTTGGAGCGGTTTCCTTTCTGCTCAGGTGGAAAGAGATTGTTTTCAACTAGATGCTGTTGTACTGCATCAGCTACCATACCAGTTAGCAATTTGAAAGTTGTTGGTAAGCAGGTAATTGGCTTGTAGTTGCCTGATATTGCCCCTTTTGCTGGATTTTTCATTATTAGGTAGGTTTTCCCAGTTGTTAGCCACTTTTCAATTTCTCCTCCTTGTAGTATATTGTTGACCTGCTTGGCAATGAGTGGGTGTATAATAGTTAGATGTTTCAACCAAAATCCATGCAGTTCATCTTCACCTGGTGCTGACCAATTTTTGATTTTCCTTGCTCTTTTTTCTACCATTTTTGTTATTACTAGTTCTTTCATTTCAATTTCTGTTTTATTTGCATCCACCTCTTTTAACAAGCCGCATCCTTGTTGTATTTCTTTGGGTTATCCCATATCTGCTTTCAGAACTGCACTGTTTCTTCCTTGTCAGGTACTGACTGATTCATTGCAGTTTCTCCATTGATGGATTGGTAGAAATGTTTCTGATTGGATTGAAATTGGAGATTCTGCCTATAATTTACAATTCGAGCTTCATATCTACTGATTTTCCTGGCTATAGCTGTTATTTGCTGTTTTATTATTTCCAGTGTTTCCTTGATTTTCCTTGTTTCTAAGTGGTATTTCTTGATTAGGTATTCTTTGGTCTTCTTGTTCTTCAGCTTCTTTTCTTTCATCTGTTCTAGCTTGCTTGCATGTGATCTTAACTTGCTGATCTTATTTTCTAGTCTAACGTTCCATTTTTGTGGTGCACTGTTTGTTTTCTTCTTTGTTGATTTTGCATCCCAGGTATTCAGTTATAACTGCAGCTGTGCTGTACATTAGTTGGTTTGTTTCTTGCAGTGAATTGGTGCTTATACTTGATATTGTAGTATTTGCATCTTTTAATGCTTGTGCTAGCTGTTTCTTTGGAACAAGCTTCAATGCAGGCAGCTTTATTCTGTTGTTTTTGTGCTGTTCTAGGTGCTCAGTTATTTTTTGTTTCAATTCTTTTATTTGTTTAGTTAGAGGGTTTTGTTCTTCCTGGGGAAAAGGTGCCTGGTTTCCAAATGAGAACAGTTGTATATCTCTGCTGGATTCCTTCACTGCCGACTCCCCCTGGTTTGCCTCTACATTCTGAATTACTTCTGGCAAGGCTTTGATTTCTTTGCCCTGGGTCAGGGATAGGCAACCTTGGCTCTTTTACGACTTGTGGACTTCAATACCCAGAATTCCTGAATCAGCTATGCTGACTCAGGAATTTTGGGAGTTGAAGTCCACAAGTCATAAAAGAGCCAAGGTTGCCTACCCCTGCCCTGGGTAAACCTTTGCAGTTGGTCCAATTCTGTTTCTGTGAATACTTTATTTTGAATTATAAATTGGCGTTGATCTGTTAGTCTCTGTTATGTTATTTCTGATTCTGGATGTTGTTCTTTCCAGAATTTGTGCATTTGTTTTAGATATCCTCTTCTTGTTGGACTTGAACTGTAATAACAAATCATTATTTTTTTGTTTTCAATCACTGTGTATTTGTGACAGGTAAACACCTTTTCTTCCAGTAGTTCTGCAACTGCTGGCCCTGGTTGCCCAGCCAATAGTCCTGAGTCCTGTAACCCATTTTTCACCAGATATCCAGGAACTCCAACATCTAGTGCAGACCTTGTTAACTCGGGCGACATCCGAGCCGGTATGGCTTTCTGAAATTTACGTCTCACCATATTTTTTATGGGAGAGACACTCTTTGTTTGACTCTTCTGATGAGACCTGTCCAGTATGGTTGAACCTCTGGCATAGCTCTCATCTTCCTCAGAGTATACAAGCCCCACAACCACGTCAAGGGGGATGATGATGATGATGATGACTACTACTACTACTACTACTACTACTACTACTACTACTACTACTACTATTACCTATTGCTGCAATATTTCTGGAACTGTTGCATTTCTAATACATTATTTTGGGAGCTGGCATTGGCACTTATGGTGATTATGTGGAAGAATCTGTTTCTATTCATTTTTCTGTTGACATTATGGTCTCATTGACATAAAGAGCAGCACAGCTTACCTCAGTCTTTTTCCTTCTAGAGATCTCATACAGAAAGAATTTGTAATTGATAGTTTCTAAAGATAAGCTAAAATTGAGGGAAAAAAGATTATCCCACTCATTTTATAAGGGTTTTCAGTACAATTGAATGCAGAGTCAACATCAGCAGCAGAATTGGTGCCTATCTGAACATAGCAGAAACATATACAGTACTTTTAAGTCTTGGATAATTGGAACTCTGTTATAGCTTTTTTATTTTAAAAACACAAGATAAGAATGAAGACATAAACACTTTTAGAGTAAGAGCAAGGAGGACCATGACAGGAAACATGTCTTCATCCGTTACCTCCTGAAACAGATGTTGTATAAGCTTCCTCTCTTTAAACTCCCCCTTTATGAAGATAAAAGGAAAGGGGAAAGGCAGTCTTTTGTATAAGCAGATGCTGCTGGATAGATTTTTCTTCTTCCTGCTGCCCTTGTCCTTCCTTTTGAAAAACCACAGCTGTTCCCATGGCCATAGACATTCCATCCAGCTTTTGTTGATGTTAGGCGGGGAAGGACACCCAGTATGTGACCACTTTTCTTTTGCATTGTCTTTGAAGATGCACACTTTAAGGACTAAATTAACCCATATGCAGAAAAATTGCATAATTGGAATTATACTAGAGATATTGGTTGGGGACTTTTGAGTATTTAAATATTAAAATGGAGGATCAGGCCAAAAATGACTTACATCCCAGTTGCAATTAAGAGGTTCTTCCTTGACTATCAACCCTTGATGGGGAGACCGTGTTCAAAACAATGAGATTGCAATTTTTAAAAGCCTTGATCTCAAGAAGAAAAGTGCTTTGCTGAGCTGATGTATGGAGATAGGGAATCTGGAGACTCCTGCTTTATTCCAGCTGCAAACAGTTGGAAAAATTAGGTCGCCCAACTCCAACCTTGGTCATTAGATTGAGACAAATTTTTCATTCAAAATGAAAAGTTGTCTTTAGTAATATTGATGTGAAATATCCTTTGAATGTCTTCATATTTGCTAAATAGATTGCAGATATTTGACAGCTTATAATATTTGATTTTTAAATTATTTCTTACAAATGATAGTTATTTACTACTCTTTAATGTTTTTAACTAGTACGTTCTATACACATAATTGTACTTAGTAGCTGACACTGTTTGATGGATGGTGTTAGTGCTCAATAATACAGAATATCAGTTATGACAATTTCTATCTTATGCAATTTTTGATAAACATCAAATCCAAAATAAGGGATGTCGTGAATCTAGAGCTCCAGTCCTGAATGTACTTACTTGGAATTAAGTAACAACTCAGTAGACGATTGTAAAATGGCAGTTTGAAGTATTCATCTTTTGAGACCAAAGTTCGTATTCTAAATATATTTCTGTTAATTGAATTTAAATATTAAAGTTTTGAATATTTCAGAAAATCAATTTGTTGGAATGCTGCTTTATTGAAATGAGAGATAAAAGAAAAGCTATTGTGACTTAGATTGCACAAAAATGTTGACTCATTGGCCTAAACCTTCTTAGCCATTCCCAATTCCACAACCTAATTAGTTGCGATTAAGTTTTGCTATTGAATTATTTACTCATTTTAAATTTTTGTTTACTTGTCCGCTGAACTTTCCAAAACAGCTAAAAATAATCACTATAGGGCAGATGTCAATAAAAGAATATAAATAACAGACAAAATCAATAAACTAGTAGATAATATAATAAAGGGAGAAACAGAATTCAAAATATTTTATAGCTTTTTAAATTTGTAGCTGGGTTGTGGTAGTGATCCTTTTTTATTTTTTAGAATAGATTATTTCTATTTTACAGATGTAATCTATTCTAAATTGTACCAAATTATATTGTGTGTGCTTAATTCAAGGTGTTGGTAAAGCTTTAAATCAAAAATAGCAATGTACAGCTTAACCCACAGGTGGACGTACAACTACAGTTGGGACCACAATTCCTGTTGCTAAATCTGAGGTAGAGTATATATAATATAAGCAATATGGAATTATATAAAATACCAAAGGAGATCATTTAACTGATTATATTAAAAGTTTTTTTTAAAAAAAAATAAAAGCAATCGTTAATTGAGGAAATTAATATGGCTTTCTAGAGATAAATGTTCTACAAAGAAGATGCTATATCTAAAAAGACAAATTTCTGCTAATCTGGGGAGTTCCCTCTACAACTAATCTTATAAATCTTATAAACTAGACAGGTTCTTTCAAAAAACAATATTTTAACCTTTCTTTTTAGGATTTTAAAGATGAAAAGCAACAGTGGAACTTGATATCAAAACCAAACTATTGTGACCTGTTATTGCAATAGCTCACTCACTATTTCTATTCACTATTTTTTTAGACAGAAGGATCCAAGCTACAGAAGGATCTCCGGACCTACCTGACTTCAGTTAAAGGTAATACTTGGAATAATAGTCCTATTGCTTTACATGATCTTCTGTGAAATAAATTCCAGAAGCCATTATTAAATCTTATCTTACCCAGTTTTGTCTATTGCTGCTAGGCAGTACTATTTGCATTACTTTAGAAAGCTATAATTATGGAACTAAGTAGTTGTTGGAATTTTATGGTGGTCAAGAAAATTTGGAACAGGGGCAAATGCTATTTATTTAACATGGAAACGTTTCCTAGAGATGTGCTACAGATAGATTCTAGTAATATTTTATAAATGCTTCAAGCTCTGTCTTGACTAATAAATTAGTAAGAGGATAATAGAGAGTGGGGGAGATATTGCCATGGCTCCTGGCATAATATTAGGTCCCATGGTGGTTAAAAAAAATAAAGGCCACCAGACTTGGAAGCTTGGAAATTTGGAGTTATTCATCTGCTTAATAACAAGTAAATGACATGTGTTATACTTTTCAGGTTCCAGGAAGCAGGAGAGATAAACAATTATAATGCAAATCTCCTCTTTCTGATGGGATCCTGTCCCTTCCTTTTACTTTTGTTCTTATTACTTTAAAAAAGCTCCACAAAACATGGCCCAGACTAATTATATCAATAGACAGCAGTTCTTATTTTAATCCTTCAGTATAATGTTGAAGAACAAATAGAAAGAGTAATATCTATATTACTATATATTATTATTATATTATATATCATTATATTATATATTATATTACATTACATTATAAATTAAATTATTTACACACACATGTATAGGTATGTGTGTGTGTATATAAATCTCAGCCAAATATTTGAAACTCTTCTTAAATTATACTATGTTCTGAAATAAGAAATTAGCCATTTAAAAAAGGAACTTAGTTTCATTTGTTTATTAAAGAAATAAATTAATGAAAGAATATTAAACCACAAGGGAATTGATGTGTGTAACCATTTTTTTTGTTCATCTTTTATTTTTCTTGTTAGGAAAGAAATATTATGAATATTATCAAGTCCTTTATAAATGAGCAAGGTGTTTGGATTTTTCTTAGAGGGCAGGATGAATAATTATTTGGGTACTGTTATGTCATTCTTTTCTATTTCAAAGCAATGCATGAAGCCTCCAAGAGACTTACAGAGTGTTTGCAAGAAGTATATGAACCCGATTGGCCAGGAAGGGATGAAAGTAACAAAATAGGAGAGGTGAGCTTTGGATTTCTCACACATTAGCATGATAAATGTATTGTGATCTCAGATTTGTGGAGGCAGAAAGTGTTGTTAATACTACAGTTTAGTATTACAGAAATGAATGTGCTTATATCTTAGACTCGCATATTCTGTTCTCTGATACTTCCACAAGAGAAAAGAAGAGAAGCCATCACTTCCTCTTGATGATTTATCAATTTGTTTACTAAGTGTTAATTTAATGAAAGATGCCATGGTCATGTGCCATGATTTAATCCTGCTTTGTTTTAATGAACCATGGTTTGAATTAACCACAGCTTGTATTTGTTGTGTAGAATAAACTTTGGGGCTAGACGATGATGTTTCCAATCTCCTCCTTGTGCCTGTAGTAGCAAAGCAGGAATAGGGAGTATTCAAGCAAAAATCCTGAGCTGACTATTTCTTACTTCTATTGTTTTACATCATGCGCAAATTGTGCCAGTGTGTTCTATGATACAACAATATCCTTTTTCTGATACCAAAAATTCCACATAAGAGCAAGAGGCAAATAGCATATCTCTTACATTCACAGCCGGCCACTATGAAACCAGACTGGTGGTGGTGATGGTGGGGAACTGTACTGATCTCGAGTGTCTGCAAATAATATTTTCCAACTTAACATGAACATGGGGGCACTTGCTGATATTGTAGCTGCTTAGAGAAAAGCAACAATGAATTGATGGAACCCATATATGTCATAAAGACCAAACTACTGTACATCAGAGATAGCAAAAAAGGCATAGAAATATTTGTCATATAGCAAATATTCCAATTAATTTTTTTATTCATGGCCGGTTGAAATTCAACAGTCAGAGCTTCCCTTATTGTACAAAACAGGGGTCCCCAATCCCCAGTACTGGTCTGTGGCCTATTAAGAACTGAGCCACACAGCTGGCAGTGAGTTGCAGGTGAATGAATGAAATTGAAACCATCTCTCCCGGTCCTTAAAAAAATTGTCTTCCATGAGACCAGTCCCTGATTCGAAAAAGGTTGGAATAGAAGATGCACAAATCTAGTATCTTTGTCCAACACTTTTAAATAATTGTAGCTTTTAAAATTGTCTAGAAAACAAAAGCATGACAGTTTTAGGAACAGATCCTAATGGTGTTACACATATGCATACTAAAAAAGGAAGCTTCAAACACGATTTGTCTTATGAATTAACTTACTAGTACTAGGGATGAAATGTATCTCACTGTTATCATACTTTTGCTCACATAGATGAAATTGACCTGCATAATGCACAGATAACCCAACTCTTCCCACATTACTCTTATTCTGTTCCAGAATAATGACTTGCTTTGGACAGACTTCCATCAGAAACTGGTAGATCAGGCATTGCTGACTATGGACACCTATCTTGGCCAGTTCCCAGACATAAAGGTATGGGGGTTTCATAAAGTTTTGGTCTACCTTAATTTCCTTTTGGAAGGTGAAAGCCACATTAGCAGTGAAACAAATGAAGGAGTGTTTCAAAAGACATTAATAAATGTGGGGCCACCCAGTATAATAGATACTCCCTTCTTACATTTTTATCTTTATGAGCATGGGAGAGCTGGAGGATTTTTAAGTAAAATATTCTTGCATTTGTGTATGCCTTCTTATTCCATTTTAAAAGGCATTTTGAAACTAATAATCATAACAAAATGTGCAATCCAGAATTAAGTATTTATAATAGTATTTCAGGTGGGGGCTGAGGCACTGAGCAGCCAGCTAACTGTTGGAGGCCTCCCTCCGTACACAGTACTCAGTTGACTAGATGCTACTCACTGATTTAGCTCTGGCACCCTTGGCCATTGATAGGGTGTCAGCTGATTGTTGGAAATGGGCTCAGGCTGATGAATGTAGGGAGGCTGCATAGTCCACTGAGAGGACTTCCATTGACCAGCAGTGGTTTCTAGGCTCATACTTCCAAAATCACTAATGTAAGGAATTCTATACTCTCTGCAAGATATTTATTTTGGGAAAAATGTATATATGGATTGGTGCATTAGGCTCACGGGCACCCATTTTGTTCTTCAACCTCTTTGTAATAAACATACCTGATATATAGAATTTCACAAAGTCCTTCATATTCTCTTAGATGCGACTTACAGAGTGGCTTATAATGGTAATATAATTTATATTCTGCATTTGACTACCATTCAAGAATTTATAATGTGAACAAAAATACATTCGTGATAGTCAAATGATAAAATAGAAAGCTGACAATAATTAAACTCTCACTAGAGCTGAAATAGAAATATGTAAAAAAAAATCAAGATTACTGATTTATGTTTATATAAATATAATATATTTATATTTATCTCAATGTGATTGTTAAGAGTCAACAATGACATACGCAATCAATTAATCATTAATAGTAATCCTGATGGCGAAACGTATACATTGTAGTATCAAAAACAATTTTTTTGTTCTAGGTGAAACAGAGTAATTGAAGTAGCTTGATTTGATTTGAAATATAAAACTTAATGAAATCATATAATATATGTCACATCAGAAACCATTGTTCAAAAAACCCTGCTTTGTTCTGAATGGATCGTAAGTACTGTTGGGCTGCCCATTCTTATCAAGCACAAATATTTTCTTTCTTATAGTTCCTTGCTTTCATTTTTTTTAGTAATATATTTCTGAAAACTGAAGTTTGGTTTTTCCTGTGGTTTTTTATTGTCTCGTGACCTTAAGCTAATGAAAAATTAGCATGGCATCTATATTAATCTTTCTTTCCTGTTTCATTTCTCAAAGCTCCCAAAGCAAAAATGCATCAGGAACATCAAGATCTCCTTTAAGTGCTATTTTACTGCTACCACTCTAGGAACAATACACAATATTCAGAGTGTGCAAAATGTTCATTCTGTAGAAAAAGAACTGAAGATGCAAATATAGAATATGTTACATGTTTATCATAATAATTTTAGCAATTCTGTTTCTTTCAGTTTTTTTAAAGGAATGACATAGAATGACAAAGAAAGGAATTTTGAAAAGTACAGAGACATCTCTATGTTTTAAGTTGAGGTACTTTAAAAGAGAGACATACTTGAGTGAAAGTATTGAGGCAGTAGGATTAGTGTTTTGTTATGGGGAAATGGGAAAGCTGTAAGACAAAGCTGTACAGTATAAAGTCACTGTATCTCACTTCAACCTCTCTCAGAAGATTACTCTGAAGATAAAAATACAATAATGTTGTACTCCACCTTCCACTCAGCCAGCTAGTACTCCATCCAACTAACTGGTAGAAAAAAAAATTCCAACTCTCTCCTTTCATTTCCATTGGCGCATTTGCCAATTGGTCTCTGTGTTTGTGTGTTTGTATGTGTGTGTGTGTGTATGTGTGTAGGTCTGTGCATCAGAAATTTCAGCATATACATTGGGAGAAAAGTTGAAATAATCTACATTGATCTTAAATAGATGCAAGGAGCCAAGACAGTTGCTTGTTGGCAGCATAATTGGCAGAATGCATATACATTGGTCTGTAAAAATGGTTACTTCATGGCTCTGGTGTTCTTCTCACATCTCCTTTCAGTCTCGCATTGCTAAACGGGGAAGGAAACTTGTAGACTATGACAGTGCCAGGCATCATTATGAATCTCTTCAAACTGCAAAGAAGAAAGATGAGGCTAAAATTGCCAAGGTAAATAACTCTTGTAAGGGGTGGTGTGGCTGCTTTCTCTCAGTTGAAGAAAAATATGTATTTCATGCTGGGATAATACTCTACAAAACAATCAGCTTTTTGTTGTTAGAAGTAAAAGAACAAAATGCCCAAACTTCAGAATTCCTGACAAACATGATTTTATCTTATGAATAAAAACAATGCAAAAACTATTGTTTACAACTGAAATGTAAAATCAGTAGGAGTGTGTCAATGCTAAAAGGGGAAAAAAAACTAAATGAAGAAACAAGAAGTCTTACAGCTAGGGGGTGAAAAATTCTTTCTATTAGTATTCCTTTACTCCTGAATTACTGAACAATTTAGGATTTCTGGCTAATCTAGACTTTTTCTGATTTGACTGCTTGTGTCATGGGCAAAATGATTTGTCCAGGCTTTTTCAGGTGAAAGGCATCTGCCTCTATAAATGGAGTTAACTGCTCTGCGTTTCTATTTATGACCATTGCAGAGCATGCAGATGACACAAGTTAAGGATATCAGCAGGAGTGATTTTGTGAAATTCAGATTAAACATTTTCTCAATCAAGCTTCTCTCTATGACTATTGTTCCTTGTACTCTGGAAAATCTAATCATGTCACTAATGGGGGAATATTCTTCAATTCTGTATAGTCCTCAGTGACCTAAGATCTTATGGATGTTTAAATAAGTGCCCTTGTGCTTAATGCAAATTATTCCCACTTTAGGCTTAGACAGTTGTCAACCTCCGATGTTTAAATAAAATGCTACAAAATATGAATAATCTGCATGGCTGTTATAATGAAGTTGTCTTTTAATCTTGGCTCCTTTTGAAGTTGCTAATGACCTATGGAGAGAGACTAAGTAAGGTTGGACTCTGTTGCTTTCTAAATGACTAACAATTTCTTCTCTGTTGCTCTCTGCAGCTGGAGTGTTCATAAGCTGTGTTCGCTCTGGAGTTCATTGAACATTTTGTGGAGCATTAATTACTGCTAGATTTAGCATGTCATATAGGATTCATCCTTGACTTATCGCTTAATACTGACTTCTTCTGTTGTTGTTTTTTGTTGGGATGGTTGGTTCATCCTGGCCGTTATTATTTGATTTTTATTTTTATTTTTTAAAAAAATAATTCTCAAAATGTGTCTGTTTTCTTCTTGTCTTGTCTTCTGAAAATGCTTTTGCCCAGCCTGTGTCGTTGCTTGAGAAAGCCGCGCCTCAGTGGTGCCAAGGGAAGCTACAAGCGCACCTCGTAGCTCAGACTAACCTACTGCGGAATCAGGTGATAGTCCAGCCTGCCTTGCTGTCTAACCCTGCATGTGCTATTTCTGGCTGAAGCTCTCTTCTGTGCTTATTCCCCAGGCAGCGTTCACTCTAACCTCTCCCAGAAGGTTTCTTTTCTCTGGGAAGAATGTTGATTTAAAATTCAGACTTCTTCAAGCCCAAAACATGTTTGAAAAGGCAATGTAGTTTCTCTGATTTTGTATTCCCCTGGATTAATACATGGTGTCATGTCCTCATCAGCAATTACAGTAAATGTATGGGTGTCCAGTGAGATGATAGGATAGAAGGTGGGGAAGTAGTTCCATAGTTACTGTTTAATTTGGGTGTCTCCATTGTGTGGCAACTGGTATTGCTCAATTAGAAGTAGGGTTTGCCTAGGAGTTTATAATTGCTCGAGCATGATCCAATGTTTCTGGATTCTGAGATCTATGGATGAGAAGGAGGGGAGGGAAGTATATATCTACATATTATATGGTAGTCTCTTCTTGTTATTATAGATTCTTTTAACCTGATATTCAGTCCTTATAAAACACTTTATAGCAAGGCTTATTATTTCCATTAACTTACCAATACTTAAAGTCCTTCACTCTCACATCCAAATTTCAGCAGACCATGGTTCTTGATCAACATTTACTCTTCTCTTTCATTAAAACTCAGCCATTAAATCCCAGAATCCATTTCTGAGAAATGGATATTGTTGTTGTATTCTCACATCCCTTTCCCTTCACCACGCTCTATATAATAAGCAAGGAGAAGAGGATCTTTTTAAATATATATCCTGAATGTTGTTGTTTTAAAGTTGCCTGTATGGGCTTTCTTTTGGTTTTTCAGCTTCTGTTTGTACATATTATTTTTTATACTTAACTTTTTATAAAATCCAGATGTTTTTTAAATGAATGTATAACAAGCTTTAAGTCTATAGTTTTTATGTCTTGTTCTGCTTTATGATTAGAAATGTCTCTGGACAATGTAGCCTTTCCTCTAAAATCATTTGAAGAATAAGGTGCCAGTAAATAAAATCCTGCCAAGAACTTTGAACATCCAAAAGCCTTATGGGAAACAACTTGGTAATAAGTGAATAAGAGTTATCAGATTTCTGTTTTCCATGAGGAACAGAAATAAAGATCAGCATAGCATATTGTGTTTTAACAAGGACACACTTGCAAAGTGTATATGCTAAATGAAGCAAAGAACTAAATAAAAGGAAAAAAGAGCAAATACTAGAGGATAACTTGTTGTTTTGAATGAAAGAAACCAGTTTCCATTTTTGTGGCTTCTCTGAACTGATCAGTGAATACATTTAATTAACTGCTGCCTACTTTAAACCCAGCTTCTCAAATTCCAGATGGCTTGGATTACTATCAGTCCTGACCATTGGCTATATTAATTTGGACTGATGAGAATTTTGGGTGGTCTTTATCTGGATTGAAGCAAGTCTTTGCTCCAGATGTGTGTTCCAGCGATTTCTTTGGGGAAAGAGTGGGCCAGAACCCAAACATCATCAGTGGTAGATAAGGGGAGGCAGGACAAATATGGCACTGGGAAGATTGGAGAGAGGTGTGGTTGAATTGGTTAAATTTGCAGCTCTTGAAACCGAGGAAGTTTTTATTATTGGTGGTGGATAAGGGAAAGTAGAAAAAAAGAACATGGTAGAAGGATTAGATGGGCCACTTGAATGTGCTGTGCTTGAAACAAACAACCTTCAAATATGACGTGGCCAAGCGGCTTCCTATCTTCCAATCTCCACAGCATTTTCTCTCCTTTACTCCCCCCTTAGCCACTACTAATGTCCACCTGGAATGGTTCATCAGAACTTCCAAATTTCAGGTTCAAAACATTCAAAACAAACATATGGTTTGTGTACCTTCTAAAATGAGTTTCCTTTGGTAAGTGAGCTAACTTTTAATTTCTTGTTTCTAGCCATAATCTCTATCAAAGATAGGCAGTAAATAACACAGAGGTAGATTTAAATTTTTCTATCAGAAAGATGACGGGAGGTGTCTCAAGAGAGCAGAAATAAATTATCACTCTAGCTGTGTTCTCTTTTGGAATATATTCCGGAAGGTTAATGAGTTAAATTGCTTAAGACAGCAAATTCCTGCCTTCCTACAACCCCATTGAAATGCTAGCTAAAAGCGTACAGATGCTTTCTTTGTAAAACTGGCCCAGATTCAACTATGTATCAAGAAACTCTTTTTCTTTATGTTCATGAATCAGCTAGGCAGCTGTTTCATCTTGCTGAGCATTGGAATTCTTCAGTGGGAAGAATGTCACATTGAAATCTAATATTTTAAAAAATCAAATTAAAAAAATATAAATCTGCAGAAGTTGGCACCTGAAATTTGAAGTGAATCCAGATGACATAGACAAGTAGCTTATATGTTAGCAAATGATGCAGAGGTGACATAATGCTAAACCACCAACTAATAGGACTAATAAACCACCAACTAATAGGTGGTGGGTAAGGGAAAGTAGAAGAAAAGAACATGGTAGAAGGATTAGGTGGGCCACTTGAATGTGCTGTGCTTGAAACCAACAACCTTCAAATATGACATGGCCAAGTGGCTTCCTATCTTCCAATCTCCACAGCATTTTCTCTCCTTTACTCCCCCCTTAGCTAAAAGAGATAAAGAGATAAAAGATTAAAAAATATTTCAATATAAAAAGTCTGGAAAAGGCAGATCACTAAGATTACTTGTTCTACAGGAACTTCACCCCCAATGTATTGATTAGTTTCTAAATTATATTTGATATGTTAAAAAAAGGCGAATTGAAAGAACTATTGTAATCCAATGAATATGCTTGTTCTTAGAATGCTTGCATGCTTGCATATTTATTTCGTGTAATATTTATACTGTATATCACTTCAGTCCAGACAGCTTTAAGCAGTACATAACAGTAACACTTTACAAGTACAAATGTCAATAAAGATGACACATCATATAGAAGCAATGATATAAAAACATAACCTATATTTCAAGAATATCTTGCAGTGTTTCATGTTAATTGGTCAAATTCCATTTCTGTCATTTTGCATGCAATTTCTCAGCTATTGTAAAAACAGAATGATAGAGAGTTGCTGTAGCATTCCTTTTTTGCCTGTTCAATTTTGTATTGTATTGTTTTGTATAGCATATCTCAATATTTTTATATTTTATATTATTTTAATGAATTTGTCTTAAGATAAAGAGACAAATAATTGTCATAATAATTATTTTATTGAGTCTGCCAAGGTGACTCCTGTGGGAAACCATAGTATTGCAATTGGGTTTTACAGCCTCTTATTGTATTTTCATAGAGTGAACGTTGCCTTGGGTATTTCTGTCTCACAACATTGGGCTATTTCAATGTAGATATCTTTTTTTTTAGTTCCTAGAGCATGAATAATCCTGTCTGCTGAAAATGGAAAAGTAGACTAGTTCAGTTTAAGATTCCAAGTAATAATGTTCTACACAGTTTGTATACTTCGAACCCCCAACTTTGCTATTAATTTCTGATTGTTGCTTAATTCAGGCATTCATCATATGAAATCATGTGACACCTTGCCCCCATTTTTAGAAAAACCACCAGTCAGGCACTACGGTAATTTTATAGAATATATCTTAGCATATATATTCACTAAGAAAATATATTTATCCTTTAGCCAAAGAATCTGACTTGTGTTACACATACTAGCACTTTATAAGAATGACACCTTGACTTACATGTATATGGTCCTTAGGGATCTCTTGACATTCCTGCCATTGACTGGTATATAAGCAATTTCTTTTTTCTTCTTGCTACTGAATTGGTAAGAATCCAGTTTCGCTATTTATCCATAGTATGGTAGACCATATATGATATAAAATGAAGCTCCTGTGCATTTACTGGTTAAATATTCTATTTCACTAGCCTATAGATAGATATGTCCCCACTGTTTGCACTTTGTTAGGCTCTTTAAAACTTTGTTCTAGTGCTAACCATCTGGGGAATATCAAACATTTTTTTTAGTTTTACTTTGAATGAATACTGCATAATTGCATTTTCATAGAATTCCAGAAGTCTGTGTATATGTAATAATCCTTACTGGTATGCAAAGCACCATTTCCAACATTCTTGTCAATGTGTTCTGAGAAAGAACTAGAGTAAAAGGTAGCTTTGTAGATACGCCTTTTGTAACTCCCCATATTAGCCACATAAACCATTTTCATTCATGCAGCCACATACTGGAATTCTCACCTTTATTAGGAACAGATGCCCAACATCTGAGGCCATCTGAAGAAATAGAGGGCAATGTAGAGCATTTCTGTCAGCTGGAAGTGCAAGTGGACTTTAACTGGCATTCTAATGAGGCCAAGATTAGTTTATCTTTGTACAAAGTAGACATCAGTTTTTCTTTATAGTGACCAAAGCTTAGTTGTCAGAATCTTCTCCCTCAATCCTCAATGGGAGAGAGATGGATTTGTGGGATCTTGATCAGCTTTGTCAAACCTTGAAAGGTAAGAATACTGGGCTCCTGGGAAAGATTGGGATATTGTTACCACCTCCATTTGTCTGCATTAAAAAACCTGGGTAGTTTGCCAGCCCATATTCTAGTAAATGCTTTCCAGATCTCCACTATACTACATAGTGACCAATATGAAACTTATGTAAACTGTCTTCTGAATGGTTGCATATGGGTTTGTTGACACCCCACAGGCTGAAGAAGAATTAGTAAAAGCCCAGAAAGTATTTGAAGAGATGAACATTGATCTTCAGGAAGAACTGCCTTCACTATGGAATAGGTGAGCGCTGAAAAAATGCTCGTTATTCTACCTATAAAGAAGCTGAGGAATTTACAAGATCTTAATTGGTTTTTGCTCCAATGAAGCTCAACCAAAGTATTCTGTCCATGCTATTTCTTTTGCTAAATCACATATTCCATTCTGCGAGAGGAGTCAAGGACATGAAAGCTGATTAAAAAGTGAGGTAAAGTTGAAGGATAAACATCTGCCCATATCTCTATTGACTTGTACTCTTTTATTTTCTAGTCGTGTTGGTTTCTATGTCAACACGTTCCAGAGTATTGCTGGCTTAGAAGAGAATTTTCATAAGGAGATGGGCAAGGTAAAGTTGCAAGACATTCTTCTTCCTATTGATATGTCATATAGTTCTCCTTTCTACTTTTTTTTATTAGAAAGCAATTGCGTTAGCTGATGATGCTCAGGGATGCTGACACAGTTTAAGAACTGTCTGTTTAAGAACAGTCTAAGGCATATTTTCAAGGCATAATCAGTAGCAATCTTGTAGAAGATAAACAGTTCCAAGTTTGGACAGTGCCTAAAACTGCCTTGGTATATTATGCATGCTTTCTTAAGTTCTGTTAGTGAAAAAAATGAAAGGAAATGAGGCCCTACTTCCTCATTTTTCTATATATCTACTTTTCTGTAGGTAGATCAATGTAACTATTCAGTTGCTTTTCAAAAATTGCTTGCCAATGAAACATGTTCTGAATTTCTCCAGTGCCTGTGCCATATTTTACTTTAATATCATGGATAAAGAATTTATACCTTCGGAGCAGCATAAATGATCTTTCTCTTCCGTTGTACAAATAACTTGATAAGGAATAGGAAGACCACAGTTTAAAAGTGTAAATGTAAAAGAAGGAAATTATATGCATCCGTTTACATAAACCTGCAACTTAATCCGCTTTGCTTAGAATTTAAAATCCTGCAGCAGGCAATAGAAAAAGCAGATTGGAACATGTCAATATTGAAAGGAGAATATATAAGGTGTCATAGTTCCGACAGATGAAACTCTTCAAACAACTTCGAGGCATTGTTTACCTTGAAGAATCTTTATTTGAGAAGCATAGGTTGGCACTAACACAGTCCCAAAAACTGGATTCCCCTCTCCTGAGTACATAGTATCAAAGCACAATTTCCTCCTTCAATTAACAATCATAAATCACATTCTCCAATTAGTTTGAAATGCAGGCTCTCTCTGCAGTTCTCCAGCCACCAATTCTTATCATCTCTTATTTCATTAACCTTGGTTCATACACTAAGTCCAGTATTATTATGTCTATCTAAACTCTCATGCACATTCCTCCCCCCCCAGCATCATCTAACTCTAAAAGTAAAACATAAGAAGAAAATGGTTGCATCTCTTAACTGTTGTCAAAGCAAAAACATCCTATGTTAGCAGCGTTGACATAAGGGGTGTCAAATGACTAAATACAAATTGAAAAAAAGTATTTAAGAGGAAAATGGTAACGTTGTTGAAAGATACGGCTATGCACATTATTTAAGATTTTGCCAAGCTTCCAACAAGGAGTTCAGATCTCTATATATAAACTTTCAAGGCAGATATTGCCTGGTTCCATGCCTTTGCATTAATGAGATTTCCAAAAATGGTCCTAAAAACTAGACACTCTGGGAAGGGAAATTGTATATCTCGTATTTTGCTTGTATTTCTAAGCTATTGCATATCTCTATAAATATTATGTACTCTGAGTCACAAAGAAGATTTAATAGTATGGGTGGCAGTAAGCTTAGTGAAACTGCCAATTTACATGGTATTTGATCCACTGATATGATCAGATGGATGTTGTAGCCAGACATCCAAAAGTAACCCTCCAAAATACTGTAGACATTTTTCAGCTAGGAAAAGATGCTCCTGCTACAGTTCAGCTAAGGCAGTGGTTCTCAACCTTTTTAATGCCGCGACCCCAACCGGTTGTAAGTCGAGGACTAAACCGGTCGTAAGTCGAGGACTACCCAACCGGTCGTAAGTCGAGGACTTTCCCTGCCCGGGAGCACCGCGCATGCATGGTTCCGCCCCCTGCGCCGGTTGAGGCGTAGCTGTCAAGTGGCAGAGACGGAGCAGGCTGACCACCAGCTGGCCCAGCCCAAGGGAGGTAAGGCACCCGCCAGAAAAGGGGAAAAAAATGGCAAACAAAAAAAATGGCGGACAAAAAAAAATGATGGACAGCCTTGCTTGGCGACCCCCGTGAAATGGTCGATCGACCCCAAATGGGGTCCCGACCCACAGGTTGAGAACCACTGAGCTAAGGCATTTAAAGTCTTTACAACAAGTGAGAAAAACAGAGAGGTGGACCACTAATAGTAAAGCTGAACTGAAGTTTCACATTATTTACATTGATCAGACAGTATGGGTATGCTTCCCCATAGCTTATGGGAGCAATTTGAATGTAAAAGTGCTAGAACCAGGCCACACTAACATTACACTTATCAAAAGTGCTATACATTCCAGCAACAGCGCAGCAGTTTATGAGATAAAATCCTGATCAGTCTGTTTTTCTGGGGTAATTAGAGCTGATCCTGCTTCTTCCATTTTTCCTCCAGCAAAAGTGATGCCAAAAGATATCTGTATTTTAGAGTCAGATTGGCCCATGGACATGCTGCAGTGGCTGGCATAGGCTGCAAGCCTAGATGAACTCCTTCCCTCAGGGCATTTCCACTACTTTGGCCTGATGTCTTATTTAGTGACAGACTAAGATTGCATAGCAACCTAGGCGGACAATGGGATGGGAAGAGAGAGAAGGAAGATGGTGTTAAGTCCCAGTGAGAAACAGAGTCTGTAGGGATGGGAGAGCCTGGAGCAGTATGAATATGTGAAGCTGAGCCAGAGGAGGAGGAAATGAATAAACATGAACCAAACATATTATTATTTGCTCATATGGCATCTGTTTCAAAAGATGTCCCTGGTGATGTCAGTGAGGTAATATAAATAAGTAGCATGATCTTTCCCTTAGCAAAATACCCCTCTTTGGGGATCCTGAGTATACTTACATATTTCTAAATGGGCTCTTTGTTATACTGACCTGTAATTTCTTTTCCTATTTTGAACTTTTGTTTATTTATTGTCTCAGTTAAACCAAAACCTGAATGATGTCCTTGTGACTCTAGAGAAAGAACATGCAACAAGCACCTATCCTGTTAAAGCTCAGCCAAGGTTAGTATACGTAAACCAATGTATAGTTTTCAAGAAGAATGGGAAAAAAAAATCTTCTTTCTTTGTTAAAAGCTGGGCAGCAGCACCATGTCTGTCTATCTTATTCTCTAATTAGTGTCTTCTGATAATATTATATTGTTTCTTTCTCCTTCCATCCTGGCATTCCAGGAAATATTTCCCAGTGCTTTTCATGGTTAAATGTTCATTTTCCTGTCTGCACCGAAACAAAACCTAGACCAAAATGTACATTAAAATGAGCATGGGGATATATGTGTTTGTGTGTATATAACAATTTTACATAAACACATATTTTAAAAATATAACTACCAGAATGGCAGGAAAAAGGAAGAAATGTTGGAAAAGAATAGGAACCCTTGTATTTTTCTGTTTGCTTATGAGTGAACCCTTCAGACTTCAGCTATGATATTTTTATCCCTAGATGGGTCTTCAGAAATTTAGCAGTTGACGTTTTGATGGAGATACAATGATGGGAAAAATACATTTCAGTTGGGCTAAAGTTTAATTTGCCAGAATTGATTCTGTCATAACATAGTCTTCTTGACACAATATTCTGGTTTCCATATCTTTGTGTACATCAGCGTAAGTATGTCTAATAGAACTAATCACATATTCTTTTCCCATTTATCCTTGTCTCTATTTCCCTTCCCTTTCTCTGTTGTTTTCTTCTGTCAATTTTTAGATTGTAAGCTCCTCGGGGCAGGCACTTGTCCTCTTGTACTGTGTAAAATGCCATGCACATTGATGGTGCTATATAAATAATAATAAATAATAATAAACCTTATTCTCAGCTCTGGGGCTAAAGGCTGGCCCTTTGAGCTCCTTGACTCTGTTACTTATGATTTATATTCTTAAGGATCACAGCTCCATATCAGACACCTTTTAGCACAATTCCATAAAAAGAAATCAGATTTATACCACAATAAATGTATCATCCATAAGGCTGAACATATTAGTAAATTAAATGCAATTCTGGCATATACACAGTGGCTACATTTAGATGATCATGAATGTGTTTATCTGAACTGGAAAACAGACCTATACATGCACACAAAGAATAATACTATGGATCACAACATTTTTAGTTTTGCTATACGGGCAGGGATGTTTTTGAATTGCTGTAGGAAATTCAAGCAAAGTTGGTGAACATTCTTTGATTCAACCCCTCCCCCCATATTGTATGATTATTATTGATGCATTTAGTATTTACTAATGAATTTACTATTAAATTCATTTGATTTTTTGAACAATACTGTGAAATTCTTTGTAAAGATATTCACTACACTTAGATCTGTTAAAGCCAATTCCCAGTAGAGGCAGTGATAGGAAGAGAGTATAACATCTGCTAAGTCTTTATGTATATATTTTATAAATGCATATACACACACATACGCATACAAATACAATATTTTCTCCAACTCTCAATTCATACAGTTAAGGGGAAAGTAGGCCTCACTTTTTTGGATCAGATGGTTTCTGACTTTCATCCAAAGATGTGAATGATGAAGCAGTTTGGGAACTCAGTTTCCCAGCTGCTCTGAGTCTGGGGTTTGCTGTGTTTCTATTAATGAGATGCAATATGCCAAGCCATCATTAGGAAAAAGATTATCATGACCTGACTGTACTTCTTTTGGAAAGCAAACTGAAGTTATCTTGCTTCCTTATTTTTGCAAAACTACTCCTACGCACACTATAGAACAAAGGGAAGATGAATCTGGAAAATGAATTGATATCAGAAAATCTAGCAGTTCTTGTGTTCTTGGCAATGAGTGGAATGCTTTAGGTTTTTCAGAGAGAGAGCGTGAGAGAGACCATAATTGTAGAGCCTCTATAAATTACTTTCACTCAATACTACATATAACTCATCTGTGATAAGAGAAAGAAAGATACAAAAACGATGAAGAAAGAATGAGAGAGACTGAACAAATATATATATAAATGAAGTCAGCAATATTAAGCTTAATATATATAATAATTTCCCAAATATATTTAACAATAAGCAAAGAGAAAGAAAAACATAGGTCTGGTCTGTTTAGGAGGTAGATACAGTATGTACCATAAACACTGAACTGGGAGAAAGCCACATTATAGTTGGTGGGGTTGATTTTTAAATAAATATGCATATCATTGCTTTCTTAATGCATAGTGACCATGACAAGAATTATTACTTTGATCTGTTTAAATGAAGTTTTGTTTGTTCCTTCTACTTGGATCGATGTGATTTTAACACAGTGATTATTTCAGTGCTATAGATTCCTTTCTGTTGATATCTCATCTGAATGGAGTTATGCTATGCTTGAAACAATTATTTGTTTTGTTTTTTCTATGAAGTCTGGCTAAATAGGATTGGTTTAGGCATAACAGTAGAAGTGGAGCTAAAAATAAGGTTTCAGGGGAAAAAAAAGCAAGATTAAAGTCAAAATGTAAACTAGGCACTATTCCATCAGTTAAATTCACAACCAAAAGTATTTCATAAAATACCTCATCTGTATACTTTAAAAATAGAGATGGAAAAAAATTGTATATCAGCAACAGTATAGAGAGAACATGAAGACCCATCATGAGAAAAATATTGTGGGATGGCATGGGGACCCCAAAAGATTTGACATCTATTTTCAGCTGACATCATCTGAAGTACAACAGTAGTTCAAACAATTTATGTTTTGTGGGAACGTATTTTTTAGGACACATTTAAAGACCCTCGCCCATTCTATGCCATAATTTAATGTCAAATTAGTGTCTGGTTGGGTTTGGATAGTTATTAGGAAAATATGTAACTGACCTAATCCATATGGGTATGGAGCTTTTAAGATTACATTAGTGCTGTAACATCGCATTGGAAAGTGATTCCCATATTGCTAATGTTTAAAGAAGATCAGTTTTCTCAAATTGCAAACTTTTCAAGGCTCACTGTGTTCATTGATCTTGTGATAGATAAGGAAACATCAGTTTCCAAAACACAGCCCTCTGCTATAACTATTGCATATTTCTCAGCCCTGTTCCAAATCAACTTTTCTTTTCCAGTACAGCTTTGAGGTAATCTGAGGATGAGTGGTGACAACTATCCTTCTCTTCCTCTTCTATCCACTGGGCACTGACATAGCACTTAATGGGTATATTTTTTTAATTAAAAATGTCCAGTGTGGGTACCTGTTACTGTGCTAAGATGACCCACTGGGCCACATTCTAGTTCCTCTATGAACGAATATCTTCACAGTAATTGCATTAGCTCATGCACGGAATCTTCACCTTTCTTTCTCATTGGTTGAGCCGTGTTGTAATGGAGATCACTTACGTGTGCCGTCCTCAACAGAAAGAAAACTAAACTCTTCTCCAGGCTGAGGAAAAAGATGAGCAGGTACCAGAATGGCAAAGTGATCTGATTTGGATGACAAAAGCAAAGGCCAGGCTGCACTCTAACAACATAGTGCATTGATAGCTTGATAACGTAGAGGTTTTTTTTTTCTTTTTTCTCTGCATGATTTAAACCTCTTTCTCTTAGAATTGTTTGAGATTGTCTTTGTGTGTGTCTAAATAATCCAAATATTTTATTGTTTGTTTTAATCCAACCCCCCCCCCCTACATTTTCAGTGGAAGATCATCTGTGGTGTTTATGATGACAATTTTTATGCTTCCTAATACATTCCTTAAGGATAACTGCAATACTATGTGCTCTGTACCTAGAGATAAATGCTAATTAAGGCAACCAGATAACCTAACATTGTTTGCTCTACTGGGTTATGATAGTGGGTCCTCCCAAATGAGAAAAGGGCATTGCTTTTCCTTTAATGTTTCAAACTGAAGTGGGCCCATATTTTACACATACTGTGCAGAGTTGGTAGGGCTACCAAGTTAGCTTTAAACTAAGGCCTCTTAGCTTAAGGATACTAAAGGTTCTACTTCACTAGAAATCTGTGTATAATTTGTTTTAAATTTCTGCTTGATATTTGTAAAGCTTATGTAATCCTTTTGTAAGATCTTAAGTTAATACGTTGCAGCAATGGATATAACAGTGCTGAACGATGATAGACCTTTGCAGTTAGAGCAACTATGGATAAAATTTCCGCTTTTTTTTTTTGAGGAATAGGCAAGTTCATATATTGATAAATAGATTTTTGTTTCAGAGAAATTGTTATGTAGCCAGACAATTTGGTCATATTTCCTCATGTCTTCCACAATAGAAGTGGTGAATTATAATAGTGCTCCTGTTTTTTATTCATATTCTGTTGGTTTGCCTCCAGAAATATTTGAATTTTGAAGCTGGCTGCCAAGTTATTATGGTATGATTGATGTGTCCTTTTAAACGTATTTGCCATCAGTTCATGAGGGAAGAGAAGGAAGAAAATGATCTCTTTATTCCATTCAGATTCTGAATAAGGAGCCCTTATGACTTTGGGTGTTCCTTTGTGAAAGTCAGTTGGAAAAGTAACTTTTTTTTAATTTCACTTTTTTGTTTGTGTGTTGTGGTCACAAATCATGATATCTATCCCAAAGAGATGAATATCAGTTGTATAGAGAAAAAAATAGTTCCCTTGAAAGGACATGGATTTCAATAGAGAGAAAAAGCTAAATCGCTTTTGGGAGTACATGGTGTTTTATGACAAACTATTGTAATGAGTGTTTTCTATACTAACTAGCTTGCTGAGTAAATATGCATGATGGCTGCTATGATGAAGTGATAAAACATGTGTAAAAAAAGATTTCTCAGTTGTTTTCTTTCTACCAGCTGTCTGTCTTTTGATAAGATTTGGAGACACAATCTGAGGCAGAAAAAATGGACATAATTGAGATGTGATTTGGTAGTTCATCTTTGATTACTTACATCCTCATCTTCCGCATAAATCTCCAGCTGGTTATAGTTAGAACCTCTTAGAACCAAGAATATTTACAAAAGCATAAGTCCTAATGAATTTAGGACATTTTATTTCCCAGTGCAAATTAACAGTAGAAATGCTATGAGAGTTTAAAAAAATTCTATTGCTATATATCAGTGTTTTTGTTATTTTTATTTTAAATCTAATATTTGAATATTTAGTTGATAAAATGTAGTGTGCAAAGCAAGTTTTTTGGGGCTAGGTCCATTTTTTAAGCTTTTCCTTTGTGTTGTTTAAATAAGAAATCAGTTCTCTCGTCCCTCTAAGCCACATGGCTAGCTGGTTTAATTTCAAAGTACTCACTGTATAACACAGAACACTGCAGGATTACACACATATATAAAATTACTTAGGAGACTAAAATTTCTATACTTCTTTGGAGCTCAGAGGTCTGCTTATTTTTAATCTATAATGAAAATCATCTTACTTAAATCTTAAGAGAATATCCAAGAGGTGTTTAAGAGCTAAAACTATATGGTAGACAAACTTTGGCACTGCGTGTATTACAATTTAGATCAGAACATGGAAGGAAATAGAGATGTTGATTTAAAAAAATCAAAATCAAAATTCTTTCCCCCCCTATATATTGCAATTCAAACACTACCCCTCTCCTGTCTGTTGTTTGGTGTGGGATAGAAAATCTCTTTAGTAGCTTCCTGTGACACATAATCCCAATTATTATTGGGGAGGGGATTATACTGGATTTCCATATGTCCATCAACACCATTGTTGTTTACTGCATTTAGAGGCATAACCAAGGTACATGCACATATAAGGCATCACATAATTTGGTTCTAAGAGTTTCCATTGTTAGCACTGCTCATCCCTTAAATTAGCCATATGTTGAATGTTTTGTGAGTTAGGTTTTGGCAGTGCTTCAACCTTACATTGTTTTTCTCTTCTTTTGATGTTAGGCACTTTACTATAAATTAAAGTAATATCAGTAGAGGTATTCCAAACAGTGCAAGTGAAAGAAGCATTTCAGTCTATTCCAAGAAATACAAAAAAACCCTATTCAGATGAGAACTGAGAAGTGCTTTCTGGTTTTTTTTCTTTTTTCTTACAGTGACAGCACCAAAGTAAACAAAACTCCTTCATCTCCACCTGATGGGACTCCCATCACCAGCCCTGAGATCAAGGCCGTCAACCATGAACCAGAGCCATCCACTCTGGAAGCTCCTGGGGGAGGCATCCCCAAGTCTCCCTCTCAGGTAGTGAGCGCTGCTGTTGTGTTTTCCTTGGGAATTTACACATTTCTACTACATGTGTTCATATTTTTGTTACAGAGTGCAGTTCGACTTCATCTACAGATCAAATACTTTTCCCCTCCCAGTTCAGGTTTTTTAATAGTTTTAGGCAAACTGCTACTTTCTCTCTAAAGCTGCCATTTCTTAATTCAGTGTTCTACTTGGAAACAATCTAGTTTGTATTATGTAATTAATGTATAATTATTCATAAGAGCAAGAAAAGACCTAACTAAATAAAAAGACCTAACTAAATAAAATGTAATTCTAAATGTGTAATTTAGAATTACATGTGTAATCTCTGAGTAAAGTAGTCAACCTTAGGTAGTAAGGTTTGGGTGGGGTAGTAGAATGGAAATATTTAAGCTTCCTGAACCATTTTCAGGCACATTGATAATTTTTAGACATTGATAATAAACTGAAGGCTACTCTTAGACCAGAAGAGGTTTTCCATTAGAACTATTACAGCCTTCTCTTTGCAAATTGTTTAATGTCCTTATTAAAGGAAAGGCATTACCAACTGCATCCTGTGTTTGGAAATGACATCAAACATACATGATTTCTCATGCAAACAATGACATTATGTCCTTGCAAGTCACATGACTTGCAAGATAACATCATCATACTTGGGTCTTCATTTGACTCCTACTTGTCCTCCTCTGCAGATGCCCATGTATACTTATATTATTTTATTTTAAAAATGAACATTTTATTTATTTTTGCTAAATATCTGTCAATGTGGCTTTCATCTGATTTAATCCAAGTTCACTTTGGCTTCCCAAAAGTAGCTTTGTTCTAGTAATTTCAGCATCAAACAATCTTTTGAGAGCCAACTGCTAGTTAAAAATATAACTGATTTGCCAGCAGATGAATGTGTTTGAATTTAATTATAGTTATATGAAATAAATTATGAAAGCATTAGAGTAGTGGTGGATCTAGGTAAATTAACTATAAGACATTATAATTCAATCACTATTCCTAGGTGAGCATACATATCATTATATCTCTAGTTTCCAGATTGATTGTAGAAATACCCCACCCTGCCTTGACATGTGGTCATTTTTTTAAAAAATGTGGTTGCCCTGTTTTTATAAAACTACTAATCAAAGTTGCAAACAGAATACATGTATCAATCCTTCTTTGGTCAGTGAAGAGCAGTGTTCTTGGGAGAAGGAAAAAGCCAAGATCTGTATTAGAGGTACTCTGGGTTCAAAATGAATCTTTAAAGTCAGTTTGGAAGTATGTTAAAACTCAGATATGAAGGATGTAAAATCTAATTATAATTAGAGATAACGTGGATAAATGACTGTTTGGTTCAACAGTGTGAACAATATTTGCAGCACTGTTTTTGATGAGATTTCTTACTCCATCTATGAATAGGGCAATGGAAATATGCTGCTTTGTGTATTTGATTTCCAGTTGGACTGAAATAATAGTCATTTGGACAAGAAATTGGTCCCCATGTTTATGCTATTAATTTGCTAATAAGAACCGGCCCAGTTGCTGTCTAGCAGCAATTTTAGTTAATAATACATTATAACAAGTACATTTTACTTGAGATACATTTGCAGAATTGTTTTGTTTCAGTAAAATAAAATTAAAAGTATGCCCCGGGGCCAGCCATTGTGTGAGTAGTTTTCATTTAGATCAGGGGTGTCAAACTGCCGGCCCATGGGCTGGCTGCATCATATGGAGGCCACGCCCACCCCAGTTCCGGCAATGCGAAAAAAGTCACGACACGTCGCGACATGTCACATGACGTGGCGAGTTTGACACCCGTGATTTAGACCAACTTGCTGAGACAATGCTGGTAGAATATAGTAGCATAATGTATATGTTTAATGTCTGCAAATGTTTTCATCTTTCTCTCTCTGATTTCTAAGGCAAGTTCTAACCAATCTTGAAAAGTTCTTTGGTTGCTTTTTAAATACTTCTTTATTTTCTTATTTTCTTTTTTAACTCTAACAATGTTGCTACTACGTTGTCTTACTGGAGTTTTAAATAAGTCACTTGGCTAAACTTGAATTGAAATCATTTTCATAGTTTAGAACATTTTTTGTGATCATTAATGTAATAAGCTACCCAATTTGCAAATGAGTTATCTGAGTTTTAATGTGATGTACTGAAAGTGTATCTGGACATACACAAATACCTCATTGCGCTTGGTAACTAGGCTACAACTTGGGTGTCTTTTTAAATGAGCAAACAATTCAGAGCCATCCTCTGAGGTGTAAGGATAGTATACTTAAACAAATGTTAAGCTCTCGGGGATGTATGCTATTGATTCCAAATTTATTGTGAGAGCAGCAATCTCTGTTGCTTGATTTTTTTTCTAAATAATTGTATCTTTTTGGAAATGCTCTCTTCACTCACTGCAGCTTATTTCTATTCCTCCTTCCCATCCGGGTAGAAATAGAAACAGCAAAGCAATGAGCAATAGTTGTGACCCTGTAGTAATCAACAGCACCTTGTCTTCTAAAACAGTGCGGGAGATGAGAAGGAAAGATCATTGTGGGGGAGACACCAGAATGCATAAGATGTAGATCTCCTCAGATTAATGGCCTTATAGCCAGAAGACTGCTTAGTGTTCTACACTTTGAGCTGGGCTTGTATATGTTGTAGAATTTTGCTATTTATTCCTATGCTGAGAAATGATTTTCAGATCTTTCCAAGAATTTGGAGAGAACTAATAATAAAGATTTTCTGTTTCATAAATTGTAGAAAATGATGAGGTATGTAGTTTGACCTGTTTTTATTGATTTTTTTCGTAGAAAATATCCATTAACAACAAAAATCAGATTCATTATAATAAATATCTAGTGCCGTGGTGGCGAACCTATGGCAGGCGTGCCACAGGTGGCACACAGAGCCCTCTCTGTGGGCACGCGCGTCGTCACCCCAGTGCTAGGCCTTCAGCTGGGTTTTATAAAACCTTTTTGCTCTAGGCCTCTGCTGCTGTGTGCAAAAAAAAAAAGGTGCAATCAATCAATCAATTTCAACTTCTCGCGGAAAAAAAAAGATCTTGCAAAGTTGGAATTGATTGATTGAACTTTTTAATCCCACCCAGTCTGCGGTTATCACCGCAGCCACGCCCACCCAATGGGCCAAGGCCACCCGGCACCCGACGATACATAAGTGGGTTTTGGGTTGCAGTTTGGGCACTCGGTCTCTAAAAGGTTCGCCATCACTGATCTAGTGTATTCTATTCAACACAATGCAGAATATTAAGCCATAAGGGAGAATGGATAACTCAGCTAATCTATTTCTATCCTTCCCCACCAATGTTGTAGGCTCTTTTATCTTCAGCAACTATTCCTATGTTGTACATACCCACTTTCTTCTCAATTTTGACTTAGATTAAGAAAGTTTTTGAAACACTACGGCATCCTGCAAACTCTGAATAGAAGTAGTAGTAAGAGTAGCGTAGACACCATCAGCAAAGCTTCTGTCCTACCATCTGCAGCTGTCACTAAAAGCACTGTTCTTTCTAGACATCTTTCACCCCCACCTCCCAAAAGAAAGAATACTTAAGAAAGATTCTTACTCTGAGGAGAAGGGGCTACTCACACTATTGCAGAAGGAGAAAACATATGTGGTGCACACTGCCCTCAGCTGGCCTTTCTCTTTCAATGCATAGTGAAGCTTGTTATCGCTCACTATGCTCAACAACAGGCAAAATCAAAAGGCCTTAAAATAATCCCGTAAGAGGATTAGTTTCAGCCTCTTCATAATTGTTGTATGAATAAAGCATCAACAAATCATGTATCCCTGAGAAAACACAACTGACCCTTTTAGCACAGTGGTGCAATGTGTACCTGGGGTAAATTATTACATTTAATGTTAGGAGGGAAAAAAATATATCTTGATGTAAGATTTTAAAGGAGTACTTGAAAATTTGAGGGACATTGACAGAAAGCTCTGCCTTCTGTAAATAACATACAATATTTAAACATTGCAGATAGTTTAATCTTTTAAACTCTGTGTTCTTGTATGAAATATTTAATGTTTTGGTTCCAAATTATCTTCCAGTTCTTCTTGCTAGAATACAATATCTGTCACCATAAAATAATAAAGCTGAGCAATTACTGCTCTGTCATTACAAGGATGCACCATTCCAATTTAAAATAACATTGTTATGAGAGAAAAAAACGCAAAAGGTCAAACAAATTAATCTCCTCCCAAAAGGTTGGTATGATGTAGACCAGGGCTGTCAAACTGGCGGCCCGCGGGCCAGATGCGTCACATGCAGGCCACACCCACCCCTGCTCCGCAAAGGCAAAAAACCTCATGATACATCACATGATGCGATTGAGTTTGACACCAGTGATGTAGACTATGTCCCATTTAATAGGATATATACCAACCTTGCACTTTAGAAAAATTGTAAGTAGAACCTTTAATAGTACCAACACTTTGAAGATAAAATGTAACAAAGAACCTAATAAGATAGTAGTTTGTAGGGTCTGGGGTGAAAAGCTAATATCTAAATTAATATTGCAGAGAAATACAGTTTATGAACTCTAAGAACAATGATTAAGAGCACTGTAAAATGCTATAGAAACCACTTATAAGATACATACAGTATATATATATGTATATATATATATATATGTATATACTTATAAGATACATACAGTATGAGTGTGTATATACACACACACATACACACACACACACAAATACACACTATATATCTATTCTTTCATGTTACAAGATTCCTTTCCTACTCAACAGAGCAGTCCTGGATTAACCATTAAGCAAAATAAGTACATGCGTAAGACACCAAGTGAAGGGGGGGCAGCACAGAATCTCTTCCCCTCCAGTATCATGCTCTTAATTGTTGCCCTTAACTGTTTTCCTTGCCACCCTTGAGTCATCTTTTTTTTTGTAATTATCATCCATTTATTTTCCTGTTTATTTTCTTTTAATGACCCTATAATCCCTTGCATTTGGGCGGAATCGGGGGT